AAACAGAATTGGGTGTAGTTTGATTGTGCGCTATATGGCCAGCTTATATGAGCTCTACACAACAACACCTTACATACTATACTATATACGTAGTACATTTTATTTTGAAGTCTAGTTTAAAGACATTTTTTTGTATACATATCATAATAATAGCGATGGACAGCCTGTCAAGCATTAAAATAAAGTAAGAATATTATTTTAAGTGGCTTTGATACAACAACAAACAATCGAATATTACCGATATACTTGTAGAAAACTTCTCAATATAAGAGCTACAGAAACATACTTAAAAATTATGTTTCTCTCTGAATCTTCCTTAAAGTAATGGAAAAACGTATAAACTTGATTTATTTCCAGTTTTATTAAAGATTATCGTCTCGGACAGCTTTCTTGAAATACAAAATACCGAGATAGTTTGTTAACTCGATATAATTGAAAAAATTTAAAATTAAGTGAAAATTGTTCGTTTTGATCCAAAGGTTTTGCGTGTTTTAATAAATCGACGCATTTGAATGAAAATTTAAGGGTGTACATATACTTTTTGTGGCAACTGTACGTCCTAAGTACAATGTTAGCATCTTTATATTTAATTTAGAGCAATAGAAACTAGCTTACTATGGTTGAACAAATGCTATTAGTTTGTTAAAAAGGAACAATATTTAGAAAAAAATTCTTATTTAGAAATTTAGAAAGAAAATTCAGAAACTTTATTTTTTGGATCGTAAAATTAATGAATGGACTTTGTCGAAAAAATTTGTCAAGCTATGAATTACAATTAATGAAATAAATGCTAGCAATGTATATAAGTTTTTAGAGTTGATTAAAAGCAAGAAATTGAAAAATAGACGATCAAAAACAACGACTTTTTTAATGTTAATTAAAGATTTTAAAAAAAAAATACTAAACTTGCTCATTTTTTCTCAGATGCTGCAGTTCATCAGGATCTTTCCGCTTTAGACCATATGCTAACTATTATTTATAAATTGTAGGTCCAAACAATGTCAAGTCGTTTTATTTCAATAGATACATTAATAGGCCTATTACAAAATAGTTTTAAATAAATTAAAAAAAAAAAACAAATAAACTTGTTATTTAAGTTGCGCTTTGCAATAAATGTGAAATTGTAAATCATGGCGAATGCAGTTTTCGGGGAATTGTAGGAAATGAAATACATTAAGCATATACTAATGACAGACTTTCCCGCTGAAATGGGGTTTCGAGCCAACCTGAACGAGTGGCGAGTGATTAAAAGACCGCAAATGACCAAAGTAAGAAAGGAGGTAGGCAGGAACTCTTTTGTTATGCAAATTTCATTTTGTGGACAGGTGTAAAGTGATTTTAACTGCTGTTGTTGTTGTTTGTTGCTGTTGTTTGTTGTTGTTGTTTGTTGCTGCTGCATACGCTTCGTAATTACATGTAAATTTTCAAAAGCAAATAAAAGGAGTAAAAATGCAAAACAATTGAATGACAGCAGACAGAAACACCAACACACACACACACACAGACATACCAACTGTTGGTGAATGGGCTGGAAAATGAAAGGCACACACACACACACAGATATGTATACATATACATGTACATTCAGGCACACACAGGAAAAAACAAGAAAATTTTGCGAAAAAATATCACGTACAAACATTTTGACTGTTGATTATTGTTCTTTTATGCAACAGGCCAAAAGGGAAACGGAAGTCGAGCTGAGGAGCAGATCATTTGCAATGCTGAGGAGTGGATGAAGGCGACATCGACCACGACGACGACGACCACGATAGAGACAGAGACAGCGGCGAGCTGGTTGCGGGTGAGGATGTGGAACATATTGAGGTGCACGACGGGCCATTTCTTGATTGTTGTGTGAAACTTGGCGCTGCATGCGAAATGAAAGCTCACATCCACAGCATGTGGTGGGAGTGTGGCGTCCAATGGGGTGGAGGTGGAAGTGGAAGACGAGGAATGAGAGGGTAGCGCAATTATTGATGCAACAAAGACGCTTTGTACTCACATATTAGAAAACCTCGTGAGAGGTAAATGGGTACGTGATTCACGTCAAGAAGAACATCAACTGTAATAACATTCTAAGTCTAATTTAGAGCGGAAAATATTGTAGCATGCGACAGTCCAAAAAAATAAACAACAGCATTTTAGCAAAAAGAAGAAAGTAATGCTAGACTCGAGTGGGCTCAACTCTTAAATACCCTGTAACTGTAAAAAATAAAATTGAAAAAAACTCAAACTCGTACTCTCGGACTAGGGAGAATCGGGATACCAAGTTTGGTTATTCTAGGCCTTATACTTTCTGAAATCCTTGCGTTCATACAGACAAACAGACGGACGGACAGACAGACGGGCATGGGTACATCACTCGTCTTGTCATCCTGATCAAATATATACATACTTTGTGGGGTCTGACACGAATTCTTCTGGGTACAGGCTATAAATATTGGGGAAATAAATTGTGAAAAGTCTGATAAATTAAATTAAATAACAAAAAATAATGTGGCCGCCCTCCTCTGCGATTCTCATACCAAGTACATAAGTGCGGGCAAATCGAGGATTAAATTGTGAAATTTCTGATAAATTGAATTAAATAAAAATATTGTGGCCGGCCTCCTCTGCGATTCTCATACCAAGTATCTAAGTGATGGCAATGCGAGATTTAAATTGTGAAATTTCTTATAAATTAAATTAAATACAAAAAAAAAAATATTGTGGCCGCCCTCCTCTGCGACTCTCATACCAAGTACATAAGTGGTGGCAAATCGAGATATAAATTGTGAAATTTCTGATAAATTAAATTAAATAACAAAATATTATGGAATTATAATTTTTGAATTTCTGATAAATTAAATTAAATATAAAAATTGTGACCGCCCTACTCTGCGATTCTCATACCAAGTACCTAGGTGGCAAATCGAGATTTAAGTTATGAAATTTCTACAAAAAATTAAATAAAAATATTGTGGAAACCAATTGTGAAATTTCTGATCAATTAAATTACATACAAAAAATATTGTGGCCACCCTCCTCTGCGATTCTGATACTTAAGTGATGGTAAATCGAGTTTTAAATTTTTGTTCGTGCCAAAATGTTCGACAAGGGATGGAATTGCCATTTGTAAAAAATATTTGTGGAGTAAAAGAATGTGACGAATGAGCAAAGACTTTTTGTTACAATTCATTGAATGCCTCCAAACTGAGCCATCATTGTGGAAAAATAAGACTCAAGTTTACAAAAATAAACATTTGTGCAATAAAGCATGGGAAAATGTGTATTTATTTCGTTGCTCTACGCATATTTTTATTGCCATCAAGGCCAAGACCGTACAAATAAGAAACAAATTGAGTTCGCTAGCAATTTTCACCCCATTAGGGGACAAATGCATTTTTGCTGGCGAACAAATTCAGGCAACAAATTTGCGAACAATTGTGGTAGAAAGTTGTCGCCTGCTAGCGCCAACTTTAAGAACTCGTTCTGTTCTTCCTTTTCTCACGGCTAAGGCAGATCTAATATAATAAAATAAGTTGCTTTTTAGCTTCATTTTATTCCAAAAGTCATGTAAATCTAACAACTTGTAACTTTGCTGTTTGAAAACCTTAAATTTTTTTTTAAAACTCATTCTGTTCTTCCTGTTCTCTCGGCCTATGCTGATCTCCTAATATATATATCCAAAATACAATAGGTTTTTTTTAGCTTCATTTTATTCCAAAAGTCATGTAAATCTTACAAATTGTAACTTTGCTGTTTGAAAACCTTAATTTCTTTTTTCAAAAAATATAATTATCTCTGCACTTTTTGAAAATTTTCTCACGCACCCATAACTAAAAGGCCTTGCTGCACAATCAAGGTAGGTGCAGGTTTAAAATCAATGTCCAAACTCAATTTCACCCCGAAACTCACGAGCAGTCGGCCAATTTCAATGACCTTGAGGCGTCGTTAGCTAAAAGTGGCAAGCGTTGACAGCAACAACAATGTTGCACATTGCTGCACAACGAATCGGTATCTGTGTATCTGTCTTTCTGGCTGTTCGGCCATGTCCAATTCAGTTTAAACATTTGGCTATACTTTTTTATATAACAACAACAACAACAACAACAGCAATTGCAATAACAAAAGGCATGCGCGACGACCTGGCTGGCAGGCAGCCCAACAACCAACCCACACACCAAATAAAGTTTCACCTGCCTGTCTAACCACGAACTGTGGTTAAAACAATCAACGGCCACAACTATACTCGTGGATAGAAAGAAAAGGAAAGAAAACCACACGTTCCAAGTGCCAAGTGAAAAGTGACTTTTCCAAATGGCAGCTGGGAAAAGGCAACAAAAACAAAAACAAAACCAAAAAAAAAACCAAAAAGAAGGCAGAAAATAATTTGCAACTTGCTCGGCTCGATTGAATCCGATTTTGTTTGGCATTAATGAATGGGCAAATATCTATCTTAGCGTTGAAAAGCACAAAAAGTATTTCAACAATTTTAACAATTTATCTGCCATACAAGTATGTAAGTACTCGTACATGAGAATTCGATTGTCTATTATACATGAACTGAATTGGAGATATTGGAGTTGGAGTCAAGTGCGCGCTTTACAACATTTTTGCCATTCATCGAGCGCTTGCTTTACTACTTGTACAAGTATATATATGTGCACTTGGTTAGATAGGTGGATAGGTAGGTGGGTCCATTGACGGCTCTTGCTGCAACAACAAGCTTTTATGCCAATTCATGCAACATACTCGTGCTGGTACATTCGCCAAATCAACGCGTAATGGGAAGCAACAGGCGAGTTGAGACACAGCTATACTTACTTATAAATATGCTTGAAGTTGGGATGGGGAGGAGAAGGAGGGAGGCATTACATTATATTATGGCATTATGACTGTTTAATTGTCTGACAAATTGTGTAAAGCTATGCGAGAGGAGTGGGCATCATTGTGGCAAAAGTGTAACGCAGAGGCATCACAAAATTTTGAAATGCCTTCAATTCAGTGGTACTTACCCTATAATCGTAATCATGCCGATTCTCCAAACTAATGTCGCTGTACATGTCTTCGGTTGTATCACAGTTGGAGCTACGGCCCGATGAGTTGAAACTCGATGATCTGTAGAGTTGGCTGCAAATTTCAAGGGAGAGACATCTTCTGTATTTTTACACTTACTAGACTTGGTAGGGCGGTCAATCAGGCAAATTATTTGCACACAAGCTGGTCTAATATGAAAAGTAAGACCCTCAGAGGTTTGTAACATATTTTGTGTGAAATAAACTTAAAACCATGACATTATTCTGAAACTAAACAAATTTATGTACAAATTTGTTTGTCTGTTTGACCATTGCTTAAGTTATCATATTCTTCTAGCCTTTTCAAAGGCTGATGTTATTTTTTGTTTTTATTTTAATGAAAAAAAGTATTAATATTGAAATAAAACTACTTTAGTGGGATTTTAAAAATAATTAAAAAGTTACGTAAAAGTTTTATAGGCAACTGGCACAATAAGTCCTAGATATATTGCAATACATTTCAAATCAAAGCTGAAAAAATTGTGAAAATTTAGACAGAAATATGACTATACAAGCATCAGTTATTACCCTGGGATGAAACAATTAACATTTATTTATTTGCAATCAATGAAGTCCAAAAAAAAGTGCATGTCTAAAAGGGGTTAATTTAACTATACTAATTTATATTAATTAATTTTAAAAAATATTAATAGATATATTACAAATTATCCTATTCCCCGAATTTTTATTTTGTTTCAGTCTTAAAGTTCTAAAAAGTCTCACTTTACTGATAGGCAACATTTTAGATTTTTACATAAATATTGAAGTTTCTTTAAGACTTTTTATAACACACACTTTTTTAAAATATCATGTTTCAGTCTATTCATATAATTACCTAAAATTAAAACAAACAACTATTCATTTTTAAATCATCTTAGTTTTCAAGCTCAAGTCTATGATGTTCAGTTTTTAAATTTAACACTACACATCTATTGTGAATGGTTCATACATCGTTTGAATGGTTGTTAACTGCGCTAGTTGTTTGTACTGCATATGTTTCTGTCTTTGCTAAGCTACAGTTTTATGGCAATGACTACTTAGTGATGACGCAAACCTTGACACCGCAGACACAAAACTGTATGAAGCACCACAATGTTCAGTGTAACTAAAACTGTAAGTACACAACATAAAAGCACAGTGAATTGCAAACTGCAATGGTACAGTAAATTATAAAATTTGAAAGGCGCTCTAGTATTAGTATTAATACTAATTATGTGTTCATTCATTAAGTTTTTAAAGAGACAAAAACGCATTTTATTGGGAATAATATTTTATAATAACTTTTAAGTAAAATAAAAATAAATAAAATAAACTTTTTTGAGGGAGATAGGAGTGCTCTACCAGCAGGGAATTACAGTTTTATAGGAAATGTAAAGGACAAATCGAATTAACTAAATCAAGAAATGGTGTTTAATTAAATTTTACAATTCATTCCACAAAACTTGTATCAATACTTTTGTAAAGAACTCAACTATTTTCGATGCACGTTCGACTTAAGCAAGTTCTCCTTTCAATTCCTTAACGAATAAAATTGAATTATTTTAAATTATTTTAACTTAATGTTGCTGGCTTTACAAGAAACTGAAACTTACCTGGCTAAGGCATTGGAACTAATCTGCCTCCGACCGGATCTGTAAAGGGAAGAAATAAAAATGCTATTTTAATGACCGCAATACATAAATTTAAGGCTTTAGTGCTTTTGTGATTTCAAATCATTAAGAACAACAGCAGTGGCAATGCGTAAATGTGTATAATTGCTCAGTCATCAGGCAACACCCATTTACAAGTATTTAGAGAGACTTATGTATGTATGAGCAGCCGAAGCCCCAACAATGCCACAAATAGATTCACAAAACCAACGACTCAGTATGAAAAGAAATGCAAATAAATGATCCGACATTGAATGGCGAACAATGGAAAATAAAAAACCCATGCAACTATTTGACGCACAACGCAAAATCAACACGTGATAATGAAAAAAAAAATGGAAAAAAACGTAAAACCAAACACCCACGCCACCCACACAGACCGCACGCCCACCGCCACACACAAGCATTTAAACAAACAAACAAACAAGCAGGTAAAACAATAAAGCCCCAGCAAATGCAGCCAAGAAACTGTAACAATAACAAAAGTGCTGAGAAAAAACAACACACACCCACACAATTGCGAAAGCACACACGTCTAAAAACTAAATTCGAATAAAGAAGTGAAATGTAAAACGCAGACAAAAAATATTATTTAAAAATAGGTTACAAGTGGCGACAACTGCACGTGATGCCGAAGAGGATCGAATATTAATGTAAATGTAAATTATATAAATAAATAGATGAATTAGTGAATGAAATGCTTAACTGCTTGAATATTAAAGTCAAATCAGCCGCCATTCTAGATCAGCAGAAATACAAAAATATATTTGTTCAAGGATTATATTAAAATATTAAAATAAAACGACATCGAGCCATGCATTTTTTGTCTGAATATTCTCAATAATGATGTAAAACCAATTATACTATAATTAAATAGATGAATGAATGAAATGCTTAACTGCTTGAATGTTAAAGTCAAATCATCCATTATTCTAGAGCAGCAAAAATATAAAAAATATAATTGCTTAATGATTCTTAAAATATTAAAATCGAAGGAAATCGAATTTTGAAACCAGTCATGTAATTTTTGACTGAATATTCTCAATAACCAATTATACTATAATTAAATAGATGAATGAATGAATGAAATGCTCAACTGCTTGAATGTTAAATTCAAATCAGCCGCCATTTTAGATCAGCAGAAATACAAAAATATATTTGATTGATGATTGATTTAAAATATTTGTCGACTAATTATTAAAAATGGGAGTGTTCATCTTTAAGCAGTTAAGCAAAAGAACAGGCTTTCGTGGAGAAGAGAATCAAAAAATAATAATGTAAAACAAATTAAATAAATAAAAGTGAATACTATTATAAATGAATGAAATGGCTAAATTTAAACTCAATTCAGGCTCTACTTTAGAGCCTGAATTGATTAATGTTTATTAAAATTAAAATACATCGGGTTTCATAACCGGCAATGCCTTTTTTGAATAGATATTTGCAAAACGCTGTTTATTTAATTTAAGCAGTTAAGCCAAAGATAAGGCATTCGTGGAGATCCTAAGGCTACGACTCTATATGACTTTTAAATTCTTACATGATCGGAGCTCAAGCCATGAAATTTTCCAAGTTGATTTGTTGAAAATTTCGGATATAAGGACACAAGGAATATTACGAAGTTACAGCTTATGCTTTAAAAAAAAGCAAGTGCCTACTCAATAATTTGTTATCGAAAGTAATAAGTATAAATAAAATGCACTTTATGCTGACAAACAGCGAAAAGAAAGTGCAGACTGCCAGACGACAACAACACATTTACTATATATAATAGTATAATAGTTGCTAGTTATTTGCAATAATTTCGAAATGCCATGATTTGCAGGGTATGACTGCCAAACTGTAAACAATTAAGTGGCCACAAAACTGTGCGCCATGTGTGAAAATTTGTTCGTTTCGCGGTTTCTGATAAATGAGAGCGCGCCACAAATGTGAAATGCAAAATGTTTTGTTTTCTATTATAAATATTTACCTACATACATACATAGGTATGTGTAAAAGCCACAATGAGTACAAACATACATACAGACAAACATTTTTGCGGTTTCCGGCCGAAAGGCAATGCCAAAATTAAACTTTAATTAAAATGCTAATAAAAAAACGGAATGGGGAGGGGGGGGAGAAACAAAAACTTTATCAACTAGTACTATGTGCCACAAACTTCACAAATAAATAATACATTGTACTTAAAAGGCAAAACCCAAAATAAAATTATCTGTGCTTTTTGAGAGCTGCAGCAGCTAGCCGCTGAACTCATTAACCCAGTTTGCAATTGCGCCAAAAACAAATGTCTCATCCACTTTATGGATGTTGCCTATTTTTAGCAGCCATACGGAGCTCCAAAGCTTATGCAAAGCATAAAAAGTTAAGCTCTATTCGAGGAATTATGCAAGAGAATCATCAACACACACACACACACGCACACACTACTTTTATTTGCGTGCTAATACTATCAACAACAACAACAAATATACGATTTTGAAAACAACAACAACAAATTGGCGAATGGCAAGTTTTGAGACCTGACTGGCCGACTCTTTATCGGATAAAATAAAAAAAATGTACTAATATGTTTTGCAATTTTTGAACAGTCGTCAGCATAGACTGCAATTAGAGGCTACGAGTCGTTTTTATAGCCTGTACCCAAAGGGTGAAAGGCTATACTAGTTTTGTGCGCATGTATGTAACACACAGAAGGAGGCGTGGCAGACCCCACAAAGTATATATATTCTTGATCAGGATGAGAAGCCGAGTCGATATAGCCTTGTCCGTCCGTCCGTCTGTCTGTCCGTCTGTCCGTCTGTCCGTATGAACGCAAGGATCTCAGAAAGTATAAGAGCTAGAATAACCAAACTTGGTTTCCATATTCTCCTAAGACCGAGAAAGTACGAGTTTGAGTTTTTTTTCGATGCACCCCCCCACTCCCCCGCAATTCGTGTTTTTTCTTATAACTTCCGTAATTCTTGGAATTTTGAAATCAATCATTTTGGTAGGTACATCCAGTTAGTACTAATGTGTCCGTGTGCCAAATTTCATCATGATAGGTCAATTCTGAAGAAAGTTATAGCCATAAGTAAAATCGCTGCTCATGCGCTGCCTCTGTCGGCAGCGCTGCCCGCAGCTGTTGTTGTTGTTGCTGCTTTGGTTCAACTTTGTGCTGCATACATACACGCATATAAACACGCATAGGTACGTGATGTAAATGTATGCTGTTAAAACTAAACATAAACATATATTCTAATTTAATTTAATTAATTAATTCATTAATTTTTTTTAATAATTTAATTTTTTTTTTAAATTTTTTTTTTTTTAATTTTTCTTTTTTTGTGGGCAGTACAGGCTATTTTACTGTCGGGCTTGCTCGACTGTAGCGTTCTATCTTGTTTTTTTTATTTTCTTATTATTTTTTTTTAATGCAAATCGAAGTTGACATTATGTCGAGTTTTGTGGCTGCGGCAGGTGCAACGATTTGTGGATTGGTGGTAAAGCAGCAAATCTTTGGCATTTAATTAGTTGGTTTGCAAATATTCTTATAAATCTATCTAAGAACTATAAGCATTAATGGTTAACCAACTGAATGATCAACCGAACAAGATACAACTTGGTTTCTTACAAGTGTAACGACTATAAAGTCAGTGTTGATGGTTAAAGCAAATCTTTGGTATTTAATTAATTGATTTGGAAATTTTCCCGTAAATCTATCAAAGAACTATAAGCATTAGTTGGGAATGGTTAACCAACTGAATGATCAACCGAATAAGACACAACTTGGTTTCTTACAAGTGTACAAGCTATAAGTCAGTGTTGATGGTTAAAGCAAATCTTTGGCATTTAATTAGTTGGCTTGCAAATATTCTTATAAATCTATCTAAGAACTATAAGCATTAATGGTAAACCAACTGAATGATCAACCGAATAAGATACAACTTGGTTTCTTACAAGTGTAACCACTATAAAGTTAGTGTTGATGGTTAAAGCAAATCTTTGGTATTTAATTAATTGATTTGGAAATCTTCCCGTAAATCTATCAAAGACCTATAAGCATTAGTTGGGAATGGTTAACCAACTGAATGATCAACCGAATAAGACACAACTTGGTTTCTTACAAGTGTACAAGCTTTAAGTCAGTGTTGATGGTTAAAGCAAATCTTTGGCATTTAATTAATTGATTTGTAAATATTCTTATAAATCTGTCTAAAAACTATAAGCATTAGATAGGAATGGTTAACCAACTGAATGACCAACTGAATGATCAACCGAACAAGACACAACTTGGTTTCTTACAAGTGTAACAACTATTAAGTCAGTGTTGATGGTTAAAGCAAATCTTTGGCATTTAATTCATTGATTTGAAAATCTTCCTGTAAATCTATCTAAGAACTATAAGCATTAGAGGGGAATGGTTAACCAACTGGATGATCAACCGAACAAGATACAACTTGGTTTCTTACAAGTGTAACAACAATTAGATTAGTGTTGATGGTTAAAGCAAATATTTGGCAGATAGAATTGACAACTCATTAATTTCATTTGCAATTTTTCGGTTTAAAAAGATGTTGGCTTTTCTTGAAATTCTACCTATCTAAGAACTAAAAAAAACTAAAGTGAATGACCAGCCAAATAAGATATAGTTTGCTTCTGTTAACAACAACCAAGTCAGAATACTTTTTTAAAAGAACTATTTATGAACCGCTAGTTTATGGGAAAGCTGTAATTATGATGATTCTGAATACATATTTCTATTTGGATTTGTACATAATATAAGTCGGAGTGGGGTTGCATGGCAAGGGCAGTCTGATGCTATATCTATATGGTTATATAGAAATTTATTAAGATAAATTGCCTAAGGGCAAGCAGCACTATCAAAGCATACGCATCTAGAATTCTAATAAAATTCTAATTACAAATCAATTTAATTTGATTCTACATAATCGATTATTTAAAATACACGTACAATCGATATACAAAGAGCGAAAAGTTAT